TCTTCTCCGCCTACCTAAGTTCTGCCCTATCAGGCCCAAAGCAGTTTCTTTTTTCGTAAGAAATGAAAGCAACACATGAACAGAAAAACCTCCTACACCAACACACATGTACACAAAGGAATATGGAGCCAGCATGATTGCTCAGTAAGGGCACTTGCTGCTAAGTCTGACAGCCTGAGTTTGATTCCTGGGACCCAGATGGTGGTAAGAGAAAATTGTCTCCCACAAGCTGTTTCCTAACCTACACACTCACTCACACACACACACACACACACACACACACACGCTCATGCACACACACGTGTGCACGCTTGCGCACAGCACATATACACATAGGTTAACAGTGGAGTGGTATTCAGCCTTTAAGGAGATCCTGCCATTTCTAGGAATGGATGATGTTAGAGGACGCTTGGCTAAGTGAAGAAGTCAGGCACAGAAGGGCCATTCTGCAGGGTTCCACTATTCATGGCATCTTGTCTAACTTGCACAAGTGGCAAGTAGGTGCTTTTCCAAGGGCTGGTTGGAGAGAGGTGGGCAGCCGCTGCTGAGTGGGTGTAGGCGTCACTGACACGGGAGAGTCTTGTGTCTCCCAAGAAGGAACTGAAGCCGAAGCAGCGCTCACTTCAGGGGCCTTAAAAGCTCAGAGGTGACATCAGGAGTAAAGAGAGGTCTTCACTACCATAGGACAGAGTTCCAAGACAGCACTTTGCCACTGCAGGTCTGTCACAAACCACAGCCAGACCCGGAGCTCCCTCCCAGAATTTTCAGGCCACTTCCTCCCTCTCCACTGGATCACAGGAAGCTGTGTGTCTCTGCTGTCCCTTCTCCTTCATCGTCCTGCAGGCACTTGTTCCTCTTTGACATCCCCATCCCTCTCCATGTGACACAGGAACAACAGGTGACCATGGGGACAATCAGCAAGTCATTCCCCTAGCGTGTCTGCTGGATCCAAGTCTCAGGGAGCACCGTGCTATCCCAAAGCAGGAGCGCTAGGGAACTTGGGGACAAGAACTCCTGGAATTGTCTGGCTGCCTAAGCACTGCCCCTTGTCAGGCATGACATGGAAACATTTCCAAAGCTCAACGGCAGGCCTACCACTTGCCGAAGACCTGTGAAATTTCCACAGACATGTGCCCTTCCTGTGCTGGGTGGGGTCGTGTGCCTGAACAGGTTGTCATGAGGAAGTTCAGGGCAGGTTCCCTCTTTGTTACTCCACCCCACCTGGGTCTTAACATCTTGGGGTCTTTGGGAGGTTGAGGGGAAGCTTGTGTTGTTTCTGGACATACCTGGGCCATCCTAAGCGACAGGCCCAAGCTGGGACTCCCTGGCCTTTGTCACGATGTAATTCCAATCAGGCTCATGTCTGAAGCTCTGTGCTCTCAAGGAGGACGTGTCCATTTGTGTCTTATGCCATTCCTTTGGGACAGCCTTCCTCTTCATAATAGAAGCCCCAAGGAATCTTGTCACAAGCCATTTCTCATCTTTGTTTACATCAGAATGCAAACCTGAGGACATTTTAAAGCATGGGCATTTGCCTAGCATGCTTGAGGGCCTAGATCCGATTCCTAGTACCACTTAACCTAGACGTCCCGTCGCACACCTGTAATCCCAGCACTGGGAGGTGGAGGCAGGGAGATCAGAAGTTCCATGTCATCCTCAGCTACATAATGAGTTTGAGGCAAGCCTGAGCTACATCAGACCATTTCAAAAGAAAAAAAGCATCTGTAATTCACTTATAAGTAGCAAAGTTCATGATCTACTGACATAACGGGCCACTCTGTCTATTCTGAGTCAAGTGAACAGAAACCAGTGTGGAAAGGAGTGCCCAGTTACATCTGACTGAGGGAAAGGTGGCTAGGTTCACCTGGCTCCCCTGCTCTTGCTCACTGCTGCCATAATCCTGACTAGCTTCAGGGAGGAGCTTCCACACTCCCACAGATGCTGGTTAGGAAAAGGAGGACCCAAGGGCTCTTAGTGCTCCCTACTCTGACAGCTGGGGAAACCAAGACACGGAGACAGAGCCAGCAGTCTGGACTCTACCCAGGACTTGCTGTTGAATGAGACTCCCTAGCGGAAGGACTGGCCTGAGGAGCTGAGCCTGATAGTAACTGATTTGTCTGGAGAGTGGGGAGAAGGGGCAGGACTGATTGGCCTGGGACAGCTCCAGGTAGGGGCAGGCAGCTGTCTGGTGTCAACACTCCCTATCTGGCTCTGGGCAATACCATGTGCAGGCCTTCATGCCCCAATCCGATGCTCCTGGGAGGAGCCCTGTTCCCAGAAGCATGTCCCTGGACACTGCCTTCAGACTCTAAGTTCACTTCCTGGTTAAATAAACATGTGTGTTAAATGGCCCAGTTGGTCCCCACCCAGAAGCAGCTTCGGAGGAGAACCTGGGGCACCAAGCCTCGCAGGCCTCCCCAGTGAAGGCGCATCCATCATCTTGGAGTGCTGAAGCAGAGTGGCCTGTGTGTCCCACCCCGAATCTGCCTTGTCTGGCAGGAGGGACGTGCAGAGCCGTCCGTGCCAGAGCCCTCCCAGAAGTTTGTCCCCGATGCAGAGATCCTAACAATAGTGATGACGACAACTTCAAAAGTCCGGGAAGAGTGAAACCTCTCCCATCCATCACCGTGTCCCTGCAGTGGGGGGTAGACATCTTGTTTTCCGTGTGAGGCAACCAAGGCATGTTAACACTGGCCCATGGCCACACGGCTGCCCACAGAGCAGAACCAGGCATTAGTCTGTTCACGGGTCTGTGGCACCTAGGAGCCAAGTCTAAGGACACCAGCCTGCAATGCCAGACCCAGCCAGGTGCCACACAGGAACACTCGGCACATAGACTGAGCACAGACATGCAGAGTTCACTGAGTGCAGAGGTCCCCCACTTATAGAACAGTGGACTGACCTGGGGTATTTTGATTTTACAGCGGGCTTATTGGGCAACAAAAGCACTTATTTTGTTTAGTTTTGTTTAGAGACGGGGTCTAACTATGTTTCCCAGGCCAGCCCTAAACTCCTGGGCTCAAGTGATCCTCCTTCTCCCACTAGGACTATAGGTACCTGCTACCAAGTCTGACTTAAATATGTCCTGACTTAACTGTTTCCTGGACTTAAGGCGGGCTTATTAGATACAACCTGGATGTCAGGAGAACATGTGTGCTTAGCCATGCTGGCTCTTTGCCAGGGTTTGGACACTGGAGCTGGACCTAAGATAGAATCTTAGCTATGCAAAGGGTAGGATTCACCAGTGCCTCAGTTTCCACATCTGCAAAAAGAGTTGAAGGAAGTAGCTGTACTCAGGGAGCTAATGAGTGCACATAGGTCAGAGCTGTGCTTGGCAGTTCCTGAGTGTCCCTACCTGGGAGCTCTTATGCCATAGTAGATATTATTGGTCCTGTTGACAGTTGAGACTCAGAGAGGAGAAATAATGTCCACAGGCACAAAGACAGGAAAAAGCAGGGCCCAGGATTTGAACCCAGGTCTTCTAACACCAGAACAGTGACTCTCAACATTGTATGACAGCTGAATTACTGGCCTTTGGGAGACTGAAACCAGTTTGACTCTCTGTCCTCATTTTATAAGAGACAGACACCTTTAAGTCTCTTGCCTACAAAATACCACTGCCTGTGGATGGTTTGCTGTGTTTCCTCTAGGCTGTGGAGGCCTGCCCTGGCTAGATGCATCTTGCCTTGTGAGGGTTTCCCACCTGTGGATTCGGTTAGAGCCTCTACCTTGGGAGTCTGACATTGGCCCTGCGGATGCAGATAGGATAAGAGTCTGTTTGGTTCCCAAAGGAGGGAAGCGGTGGACAAGGAGCAGAGGCTTCCCGGGTCTCTTGGCTCTCTCTCCTGTCTTCACATTCCAGCTGGAGGCTACAGTGTGCCACAGAAAGGAGACTGGCTTAGGCCAGCCTCTGCCCTGACAGAATGGCCGCCGGGACTTAAACTTCCAGGAAGTCATCAGGGACCGGCGGTGGGGGAAAGGCTGTGTTTATGTTGTCTCTATGTTAATCTATGCCAGACACTGTATCTGATTTTATCAGCATGGGACGTCTGCCTGGCAGTGTCTGAAGATATTTTGGGTGTCACTTGGGATTGGCGTGTTGCTGTCTTCCTGCAGACAGAAGCCGTGCCCACTGTTGATTTTCCTAAGACACACAGGAAAGCGCCTATGGCAAAAACCAATGCTGTGGCCAAAGATGAGAGAATGACTTCTGGTGTTCTCTAGGCTAGGAGCTGTGACGGTTAATTCTGTGAACCTGGCAGGACCTAGAGTCACCTAGAGATAAACTTCTGGGCTTGTCTGTGAGGGAGTTTCTAGGTTGGGTTAATTGAGTTGGGAAGACCCACCCTAGCTACCAGAGCCCTTATCCCCTGGGCTCAAGTCCTGGACTGAATGAAAAGGAGACAGTGAGCTGACGTCCAGCACTCCTCTCTCTCTGCTCCCTGGGCCCTGTAACAATGTGGCCAGCTGCCATGTTTCCCCCACCTTGTGATGGGCTGACTCCCTGAACTGTGAGCCAGAATCCACTGTTTCTTGTTAAGTTGCTTTAGTCGGGCCTTTTGTGAGAGCAACGAGAAAAGTAAAAGGTGCAGGTGCTTGTAGATGCTTCACCCTGAAAGAGTCAAAAATGGGGAGAGAAGATGTAGGGAAAGACTCTGGAAGGAGATGGGAACGTGTGTGTCCAGAGACCCCTTAGTATACATACAGCAGGTCGTCAGGCCAGTGAGATGGTGAGCTGGATGCCAAGGTCACCATAATAGGGACGTTTATTGAGCGCTGTGTCAGGCACCACACAGGGCATCTGTTTGGCAGCCTTCTGGGGTAGATACTCTTCATACCCGTGTGTATAGAGGAGGAAGCCAAGGTTCAGTGAGGAACTGCACTTGCTGAAGGTCTCATTGTTCATGACAAACACCTAGACCCACCTCTTACAGCCTGGTCATTTTTAGGGCTGTCCTCTCAACTACCTACCCTGATTTTCACTGTTTTTCCCCCCACAGGTTGAGGGACAGTCCAGAGCCCTTGTCATCGCTCAGGAGCTGCTGTCTTCAGAGAAAGCGTAAGTGCTCCAGCAGCTGCCCGGAGCTTGCCCACAAAGCCCTGCCCCTCCCGGCTTGTCCAGGATGGAGTTAACACAGCACCGTCCTTCTCTACTTCCACAGATATGTGCAGATGCTGCAGCACCTAAGCCTGGTGAGTTAGTCATTCTGATCGTCCCTAACTAACTGTCCTTTTACAGAGCTGGACTCCGAGAGGCAGAAATCAGGGTGCACACAGGGGTGGCTACATTAACAGGCTTGGTGGCTGAGGCTCTGTGCCAGGCTTTTCAGATAAGCCTAGTCTACTGAGGGATGTACTAGGCAGAATGACTCCGTGCCTGGGTGGAGGGGGAGCTCTGGCAGGGGGCACTGGGAGGGAGTCTGGATATCGGTGAGGATCCCCAAAGCAGTCTGTGTTTGTTTGTGTGGTGCCGGGGATAGAACCTAGGGCATGCAGCATGCCAGGTGAGTGTTCCACCGCTGAGCCATGCCTAAACTCTGTGCCAGTGCCTTATATTTGGGTCCTTGTATGAACTATGTATGTGTCTGCACAATGACAGTTGCTCAGGGAATCAAGGGGCTTTCTCAGTCACCCTGGTCTCTTCTTCCCTAGGAGATCTCCAGCAACAAATGCAGGAAGAAATCATTGAGGGTGCAGGGGCATGGCCACAATTATGGGGAATCTGGAGAATCTGGGCAGGCTTTCCTGAGGAGGTGGTTTTGATTCAGGCTGAGTCACAGGAAGGGTTGCATGCAGCAAGGATGAGGGGGCTGGATGTTTTGGCCTGTAGCAGCTCTCCCAAGTGTCTAAGGATTTCCAGCCCTGCAGCAGTTCAGCCTTGATACTCGATTCCTTGGCTTATTTCATTCAGCTCATAGAATGTCAGAGCCACCAGTGGTTACTGGTGGGCATTTAGCAGGTAGTGACGTGTAGGCTCGGAGGAAATGACTGGGTCAAGGTCACGTAGTGATGGAGCCAAGGCAGACATGGATTTCCTATCGTCCTCCACTATCCTTATGCATGATCCACTCCTCAGAGCAGAAGACTAGAGGACCACCTCCCAGGGTCCTATATGAAGCCAGGCCTAGGGGTGAGCCCGTTAGAGATCATGCTGCTGTGTTGACCCCATGTGAGCAGGGAGCAGCTGGCTCTCTGAGTGGAGAACCAATGAATCCTCTGGTTTAGCATGGACAGCTGTTTGGGGTTCCAGTTCTGTGTGCATGAAGTTCCCAGGACTGAAGTACCCAGCCCTCTCCACCTTTGCTTCTGTGACTCAGCATGGCAGAGGCAACTGGACCCCTGAATTCTGCTCCCTCGCCAGCTCCTGCCTGATGGCCTCACATGGGCTTGGCTCTCTTGTTTTATGAGGCACCAGTGTGAGTTTGCATCACTTCCTGCCAGGTGGAGCGAGGCTAAAGCTGCTGGCAAGCCACAGTGCCATCCTGGGCAGGGCAGAGCCAGGAAATCAGCTCAGAAGCTGCTTTCTGGAACTGCGCTGCTGAGCAGTTATCACATCAGAGCTGCGTAGACAGAAGTGGCAGAGACCCCACCGCATGGCTCCAAGCCGGAGATGCTGGTCTTGAAGTAGACCACAGACTTCAGGATGTAGCACCCAAGCCAACCCAGAGGTTCATCGCACTCATTAGGGTTGGCAGGTTCTCCCTCAGATCTCTCTACTCCCCAAGGCCACCATACTGTGGGGAGGGGAGCGGGCTTCTGTTTTTCAGACTCGGGATTCAACCGCATGCTTGCCAAATGGTCAGTAGAGCTAATGAGTCAATCAAGCTATTTGGGTTGATTCCTGCCCCTTCGGGGCCTGGTTCTGGAAGTCTGTTGGTTGGGAATTGTTTTTGTGTTTTTGAATGTTGGTGAAGGAAGACAGAGAAGAACGTGAGAGAACCTTTAAAGACCAGTGTGGTCCACAAAGCCTAGAATATTGATTTGCTGGGCCCTGACAAAGGTGCCCCTTCTATCCTTCCAGAAGCCCGCCATCAAAGCTTCTACCCTCCTGCATGTCCCCTCCTATCCAGTTAGATGGCTTTGGTCACTCACCTCCCTCTCATCTCCACAGCACCAAATACTGTATCCACATAGCTATCCGCCACCGTTATCAATCAACCATCTAACCGCTGGCTTGCTATTCCAGACCTTTACCTCGTTGCCATCTACTCGTCAGTCCATCCTTTCTTTCATCCGTCTGTAAATCCGCACACACACCTTTCCCTCCTTTCCCTATCCACCCACCTATCCACACATTCACCTCTTGCTTTATCTATTTATCTATGCATTCAACCACCCTTTTCCCTTCCCCTCCATTGATCAATACATCTTTCAATAATTCATTTATTCTTCCTAATTCCCCCATTCTCGTTCTCTCCCCAACCCCCAATTCACCCTAAAATATCATAGGCTACTTGGTTGTCATTGTTACTGAAATAGGCCTTGGAGCCCCAAAGATGAAAAAGGCCCAAAATTTGCTCTTAAGTAGTTTGTGTGTGTGTATGTGTATGTGTGTGTGTGTGTGTGTGTGAGAGAGAGAGAGAGAGAGAGAGAGAGAGAAGGAGAGAGACCTACATGCATGTATGTATGTTTGCATGTGTGCAGGCACACATGTATGCATGTATGTGTATGAAAATACATGTATATAGGTCTAAAGTTGAGTCATTATCCATCTTTTATTGCTTGAGAGAGGTTCTCTCACTGAACCCAATGCTCTCCAATTCTGGCTAGACTTGCTAGCTGATTTTCCCTGGGATCCCTTGTCTTCTGCTTCTCAAGTGCTGGGATTGCAGGTGATCATGTCAGCTGTTTGGCTTTAATGTGGGATACAGGCTGTGCTGGGAGCCCATTACCCATGAGCCATTTCCCCAGACTGACAAGTCTCGTTTTTGTGAAAATAGAGGATGGGGATGGTGAGAATGCATACTTATACCACTCAGCTTAAATAGAATTTGCACAGCTGTATTTTTGTGCAGAATCACAGGGGCATGATGGGAACCCAAAACGGCTTATAGGAGAGGTGTCATGGAGGTGGACTTGGGAGGAGAGAATCTCCAGGTGCAGAAGGTGGGGTGGCTGGCATGGGCAGGTGCATGGAGCTTGAAGATGTGTGTTGAACAGTGTATCAGCTGTGTGGTTAAATGTGGCTGTTTCACAGAGGCCAAACCAAGGGTCAGAGAGGGAACCCAGAACCAAGATGAGTAGGCTGCAAAGCCCCCACAATATCCCTGAGGTCTTGTGCTTTTCCTTGTATGTGGTGAATTGATGTTTCAAACAACACTGGTCTCTGATCACCTTTGGTTTTGTTTTCTTGTTTCTATTAGAAGCTCATAACTCCTCCCAGGGGTCTCTCCTCTGGACTGAGGTTCTCCAGACTGCCAATGGGGAGTGAATATGGAGTGGCTTCTGTCAGGTCCCCAGGGAGAAGTCTGGGACCCAGAAGAACTGGTGTCCGGCCCATTCACCCCTTGGCACACCTTCTACAGTTCCTTTGCACTACAGCTTTCCTCTCTGCCCTCTGGATGCGATGCTCTTAAAGTGTGTGGGGTCTCGTGCAGCCGCTGTCTGCTTTTCCATTGGCTCACAGCTTCCACTTTCTGGTTGCCAGTGTCTTCTTATCATTTGGGTCTCAGCCCAGTGGTCACCAGGGGACAAGCATGTTCAGGACTCAGTGATGTGGGGTAAGCCTGCCACTGTGCTCATGGACCCTCAGTGACGTCCCGATGCCATCTCATTCACAGACCCTCTGTGAAGGCCCCATGGCATCTCTCCCACCCTCAGTGAAACCCTTGTGTCATTTTGCTTTCCAGAGATTTTCTCAAGGGTTGGTGGGCGACTCATCTCTGCTTGACAACATCTGGGCCCTGACCCAGAAGATTCAAAGACCAGTAGTACCTTGATGGCCAGGGACTGCAAACTCCTGTAGGTGTCTTCTCTCACACATCTGATGGGAGATGGAACACTGTCTGGGGCCTCATCTGGGCCTGTGGCCAGCAAACTTACCTATGGCCTCTCCCTGTGGTCTCCAAATAGGCTAGTCTAGGCTTCCTCCCAGCCAGTGGCTGGGTGCCAAGAGCGATTGTCCCAAGAGAAAGCTGGGAGGAAGTGCGTGCCATTTTTATGACCCAGGCTTGGAAGTCACGTAGCGCCACTTCCGCCATTCTCCACGAGTGGAGACAGTTCGAGAGGTCCACCCAAGGTCAAGGGCGAGGAGTATAATCTCTACCATTCAATAGGAGGATTATCAAGCACACATTTCATAAATATCCTGTAGGAGATACTGTTGTGGTCTTTTTTTTTTTTTTTTGGAAAACATAACTCACCATAAACACCTTCTAAAAATGACTTTGTGTCTCCTAGGAATGTGTTTGACTTCTGGCAACAAAACTTCAACTATGGCATCTTAAATAACGTAGGGTTGTCCTCATGTGGAGCAAATCCACAAGGCAATGTTGGGGACTCCTCTACATCTCAGAAACTGCATGCATTTCTAAGGTTCCTCATGAACTTGGGTAGCTGCTATGGCCCTAACCTTCATATCCATCTCTCAGGCAGAGAAAAACAAAAAAAGGAAAAAAGCTAAAGTTTCTGACTCCCAGCTAGAGTTGGTTCCCTTGAAGATACCTAGGGTACCACTGGGCAGCTTCTTCCCCTTGCCATGGCTAGTTTCAGGGGAAGTCAGGACAGAAAGAGTCAGGAGCCAAAGCCAAGTACAACTCCACAGCTGTGCCTCTTTGTGTTTATTCTGGGTCTCAGGTGGGGTGGGAAACCCCAGAAAAGCTCTTCCTGTCCCCAGTCAGCTAGGTGGGGGTCTTCTGCTCTTCATGCCTGGAAACTGAGGGTAGGCGAGAAGGGGCTCCTGCAGGGCAAGGCTTGGGCAGCTTCTGCACCCCTCAGCATTTGATAGCAGCTGGTATCAGCAGCAGGAGCAGATGGACCCCCTAGAGCTATCAGGTCACAGGTCCCAGCCCTGGTATAGACCTAGGAGGTGGGTGTGGCGTGTTAAAGAAAATAGCAGGTTTCAGGCTGGGGTGATGGGTGAGTGGTTAAGAGTGCTCGTTGCTCTTGCAGAGGACCCTGGGTTCACATCTCAGCACCCACATGGGCGGTCACAACTGTCTGTAACTTTAATTCCTGGGGATCCTATGCCCTCT